CGCGGCCAACGTGTGGACGCGGCGACCAAACTCTGCCACCAATCCTTTGATCTTTTGTAAAAAACCGACACCACACGGATCTCGCGCCAACTTGTGGGCCATCGTCCCAATACATACCAATGAAGCCCAAACACCTCGTCTACACGTTGGCCAATGCTATTGGCCACTACATTCGCCACTGTGTTGGCCAACGTGTAGAGGCGCCGTTTGACGATGGTTCACAGTCGTTTATTTTATTTAAATAGCTTTTACACAAGACTGCCTCCTTCAGAAAATATTAACAAAAAAAAACTGCTATCTATAATAGTGATCTTTGGGCAAGAAAATCAATCATCGAAAGATCATTCATGGTCAGTTTTTTTGCTATTATTTTAAAAACTATGTGCAGTATTACTTTGGGTATGTTCCGAAATACAACCAAGTACACTGGCCAATGCAAATGACGTCATAAATCAATGCCACATTGATGACTGGTATCGAATATGGTGGAATACGGCGTCAATTAATGACGTCATTCGCATTTGCTAGTGTACTGGGTTGTATTTCGGAACATACCCTTAGTCAGGTCGTAAGTTCTGTCAAAACCTTTTTATTTAAAATTTTTGAATACTGGCTAAATGAATTTTACCGATTTTAAAAATATAACGTTTGTTATTTCCGAAAATAAAAAAACTATAAAGAAAAGACATTAATTTTTACATATGGAGTGGTCGAAGAAAGAAGATAGAGTAGCGGTTATCTAATCTTATATATATATATATATATATATATATATAAGATTTTAACACCGAAGAAAGTTATAATAAACTGAATGATAAGGTGTATGCCCACAGCAATGAAGAAGCCAGCAGGCGTATTCCGAGGGTTCAATGAGAACATTATCCTACGTCACTCATGGTTTGGTGTAAAAACAGTGCCGAGGTGTACCAACATACCGTTCTTACAAAAATATTGGGACCTCTTTCTCATACGATCTTCAAAGACCGACATTGGATATTCCAACAGGACTCTGCACCAGCCCATACGGCACGAAGCACGCAAAGCTGGTTGACCGCCCATGGACTTGACTTTATTGGACATGAAGACTGGCCCTCTTTAGTCCTTAATTCATTAAGGGCATCTATTCAAAATAGGGGATATTTTGAATAATGTAAATAAAATTGTCTTCTAAATTTTTCTAAATTAGCTTTCATTTCATATATAATTACTATATAATTATCAAAAAGTGTATCATAATTTTATAAAAAGTTTTTGACAGAACATGAGACCTGACTAAGTATTTTGCTAAATATGGTCCGAGTAGCTCGATGCTCGTTTTTATATAGAATACGAGCAACAACGAGCATACAGTTCACTGATTGTAAGTGATTTTTTTTAATAGGATAAGGGTGACAAATTAGCACACTGTTCACCTGATGATAAGTGGATGCTGTGGCCCATATAAATCTTCATTTAACCTCGATTAAGAATCAAAATGCAGATGCCTTGTCACCCTTGAAGATTAAAATGGAATCTCTCGATTCCAGTAAAATGGGTCTCCGGTACACTCACCATATGAAACACAGCAGCACTAACCTGCGTGGTCCTTCCCCGGTCGAGCCGGCCCATTCATGTTACAACCATGATAAGCTGCAACGTAACTCTACCACGTATTATTCTGATATATATCAGAATTAGTTAAGATGTTTTTTCACCACACTCACATAATTCTTCTGTACGAATGTTTGTCACTGGACTATTCCTAAACGGAGCCTGAACTGGACCGATTTTAATGAAAGTTTTTGTGGGTTTGAGGACCATCCAGGGACCCAGGTGGTTTAGATACGTAATTAAAATCGAAAGGTTCTTTGACGAGATCTAGATAGCATATGTGCAAAGCCGGGGCAAGTCGCTGGTTTTAATTTAAACAGAAAGTTTAGATACCTAAATCCCTTTGAGTATTAAACCAAAAAAGACAGCATCGCAAGGCATACCCCTCTGTAAAAGGTACGAGAGTCAGACTCAGAGCCGTTGCATAAAACTAGTTGCTCCTACTTGCTTAATTGAGCTCCGATAAAAATGCCGAATTGCAGTGTTTTCATGAAAATAAAAACAATCAAAACCGTCAAATCTACAAAAGGACAACGTGACTTTTCATCTTTGAATACTTTTAACATAATATTATCGTTAAAACTCGTATTTTCTGAATATTTTCGTAAAATATCAAGTATTGCCAACATAGTTCATGAAGTAAAATATAAGCGTTGTTAAAATAAATATAATTTACTACACCAAATATATATATTTAACGAAAATTTATTTCATATCAACTAAATCAGTGTGTGATAAATAATAATTACATTAATTAAGATGTGTAATGGATTTTGTCAAATGATTTAAATATTCAGTTTAATTCCAACACGATTCTGAATATTATATTATAATTAATATAATTGATAATTAGTCTTTATCAAAATATTATACAAAATATAGGCCAAATAAGTTGAATCAAAATTTGCCACTTCGTAGCAAATGCAATTTTTGTAAAATTAACTGGTATCACTGCAACTGTAAGTACTGCAATGTAGTGATTGATGTACGCCACAACTTTAGCTATTGATAATTTATTTAACCCGTTCGGGTTTGTCTGCCGAACAGGTTTTTATTTTTTGTATAGATTTTTTAATAAAGTATTTCAAAAGTGGTAAATTGTTCTATGATTGGTTTAATAATAATAATAAATAAAATATAGTTTATTCAGTTAACGATCATACATAAATTATAACAAAGATTGAGGTCTCCTCTTAAGGTGGCCCTAGTCGATAGCTCGAACTAAATGGTAGGCGGGGTTAAAATGCATGCTATCTCAGCCGACATCACGTGCGAAAGGGACAGACGCTGTGATGAGCAGTAAGAAGCTAGTGCGCACACACATACGCACTCCTGAGTGACGCAAAGCGACGGCGTCATCGCGTACCTACATATTGCGATTCTTTTTTGAATGACAACATAAACTCAAACCGCAATGAAAGCTCCCTGGCGCAGTGGCTGCGCTGGGGGCCGCGGTTTCGAATCCCGCACGGAACAAATATTTGTATGGCCTACAAATAGTTGTTCCGGGTCTGGATGTTTGTCCTTGTGCAATTTATGTTTGTAAACAGCCTCCACGATACAGGAGAAAATCCTACTGTTGGGGCATTGAGCTAATATGTACTACTTACTAGAGGCGAAACTGCATTCAGCTACACTGTTCCACTCAACTGCGTCACTCGCTAGGTGCTTATAGAGTTGTTACGTGTTGTGTTGATTTAAAAAATCTTTTACTTTTTTTGTACTTAGATATTGCACAAATAATTCAATAAATATCAGTAAAAACCAAGGAATTACTTTTCATCGGTTAATAAGATACTTAATTAATAAAAAGCATTATGTATTAATAATAAAACAAATTATTCCTAGGACGCCATCCCGTGTCAGGGAATATAGATTATGAAATTAATATGTTCAGATGCGACATTTCTTTGTAGAGACATATATAAGTTATTATAGTTTGGCAAAAATTTTCATGTTTAAATCTGCTTATTATTCTTTTATTTTATTTTTAGGTTTCCACATCGAAGTCAAAGTGGTATAAATTCGTCCAATTTTAACTCTCACGTGCCCAGCATTTATGAACGACTTTTATTCTAACTTAAAGAAATATATTTGTAATTTAAATGTTATTTTAATAAGTTTTGTTAAACATACATTTAGTATGTTTTTATATTTGACTTAGATAAATTTTAAAATATTCAGATAAAAATATCACTAAAATGTAATTGTGATATAATATCATGTAATATTATATTAAATAAGCAAATATAATATACAAAATAAATGAAAAAATTTAAATATTGTTCTCGATATAATTTACCTATTTAACAATACAATCTACTGTTACCTACGGGTCATTCTACTTAAGTTTATTCTATGATAAAAAAACAACCACGCGAACACAGAATAGCGCACATTTTTTGTTTGAGATAGCTGTTCTAGTACTTAAGTACATATTACTTCAATGTGTTGGGGTAACGTATTAGACGTTAACGTCGAACGTTAACGTAAAGAGAAAAGAGAGAGGAAACAAATTGGTGTTACTATTATGAGCCCAATTTAGTTGTAATTATGAAAGTTCTTATGTGAATTTAAGTAGATCTTGTTATTATATAATAATTTCATTGATTTGTTTTTACCTACTTTTAACCGACTTCGAAAATAGGAGGCGGTTCTCAATTCGTTGTTTTTTGGTTATGTATGTTCTGTTCCCCGATTTCTCGAAGATGTCTGAACCGATTTGGATAATTATTTTCTGGTTTAAAATAATATATACTTTCCAGATAATCACATGGTATTCGATGATGGTCAGATCAGGATCTGATGATGGGATCTTGGAGAAATCGAGGAAACTCTTCAATAAATGACAGTAAGTTTAAATATAAACAAATATTTGCCAAGTGCGAATCCGACTTCCGAGCTTCCGTACCATCTTACAAGATTTAATATACATATTACTATCGATCAAAAAAGCCAAAAATACACGTTTCTTTTTCTAGTAGGAAACCCTTAGGCAGGGTTCGTTCCAGATCAAAAGTAGCTACTAATAACGATTCGTCAGTTTTGACTTTACCTTTACAGTCATTTAATATGTTTTTTACTTCGCCTGCAAGTTTAATATGCTGATCTTTTTGTACCCTTATAGCTAAGCATGTTTCTATATCTTCTTCTGCCTTTATTGCTATCTCGAGCATATCACAGGTTTTACAAGTATCTGCCTTAGGGATATAGAAGTGTAAATTAAACTCGGTTGTAAATACTTTGATGTAGGCACTCTTTTTCAATATTGGTTTTCCTTCTGACTCACATTTTGCTTTAAAAAGTTCATACATTTTGTTCCTTGAAAGATCCTGGCGCAAATATTTTCGTGTTGATCGTCTTTCTCCATAGTAACTTACAAATTTCGGAAAACTATTAATGTGGTCTAGCTAGCTAATCCAGTTCAACTTTTCATCAGGCAGCTTGTTAGCAGGTACATGTTGTCCCCTCTTATCTCTTTCCGCTATTCCAGAAACAGATTTTTTATTGCGTAATGCATAATCTAATCTTTTGTTAGATATTTGTATGACCTTTAAAAAGAAACTTTTGCAAACTCTTTTGTCCAACAACATGAATTGGCGTACATAATTTATGCGGCTAGGATTTTGAGCATTTTGTCTTTGCTTACGGCGTTTTGGTTCTAAAGTCTTAATGGTGCTGCACAACCATGTTGTTTGAGCATCCCATGAGGTGAGCTGATAAAACATTACGTGTATTGCTTCTTGATTTTCAGATGAAACCTGCTCACTGCATTTGAACCTACAGCTGCATACAACTGGTGTAAATACTTTAGCTGGGACAATACTACCTCGTACGTTGCGATATTCTTGGCCTGCAGTTCTTTTTCGCTTCCTTATATTCTTTGCCCATCTGTCGAAATTCCGAACTCTTTTTCTTCCTCTGACAGGTTCATCGGAATCTGGATGATTTATTTCCCCCAAGTTACCTATAGGACCCTCTGGATCTCTTCTTTCTTCATTATCTGTAAAGAACAGCATAAGCTGTAACCCAAGCCCAAGTCAGATTCAAACATGAAGCAAAAACGCAACAGACGAGTATTTGCTTATAAAAATAGGTTATATTAAGGAAGTAGTTTATTAGAGTATAGCTTTATAAGTATTTTCGTGCTAATTGATTAAAAGAACATAAGTGTAAGTCAAGCAACAATATTTGAAAAAATATGATTCTGAAATCGAACTGCAAATCACACAATAAAAGTAAAATCTCTCCAGCCCTTTATATTCGACAACAATACATACCTTCACTGTCTTCTAATTCTGTGGAAATTTCTATATTTTGCTGTGGATGGTAACAAGAATGATCACTTGAAAAATCTTCATTTGTTGAAGTCGATGAAGATGGCGGCGGCGAAGATTGCAATGCTATTCTTTTAGCTCTGTTTCTGTTATCCATTGTTTACGTAACACCCTTTCAATTAAAATATTTAATAAAACAAAAGATAATCGCAAGCGCATGTGACTAAACCGAAATCAATATGACAAGTAACGTCAATTGATTTTGATTTTGTAGACGTGACTGCGTTTGTGTTGCCAGTTTAAAAATATTCAGTGGTTTTGTAAAAATATCAAACCATATTATTTGTTTTAAGTATATAAACATAGATATTAAATAAAAATTACGTAAATTATTTTTACACAATTAATTGCACTCATATCAGTTTGGATTTCCATAAACGCCACCAACTTGCAACCACAGTGATCTAAGTGCGCTCTCATTACTTAGATCAGTTTGGCATGTCTCCATTTTGAAAACCGCACCGATTCTATAGTGAGATGTTGTGATTTCTCAAGGAAAAAAATACTGGGAAACACTTAGATCAGTATGGCCTGAAAGAATTATGATTTTTCTTTGCATTTGTGTAAAAGAACCATTTTTGGTAAAAATGTCACTTAGATCACTCTGGTTCCAGCATCGTCATATTTGCAATCATGGTAGTTAAAGTGATGAATTTTTATGCTTTTATTAAGGGCGTTGTATAGAGTCGCTGACTGTTTTTCATATTGCCTCCGAGATAAAACAATCTTAACAGCCACAGCTAGTAGCTACACTATGTTTTTTCTTCTTTTGACTACAATATAACGGTTAAATTTTTACCTTTATACAGTCTTAGAACTGAATATAAGATGTGCGGTTTCCTAACAGTAAGTACTACTTATAATTATGGCATAAAGATCTTCTGTAGGGCAGGGGTGATTATGTATTTTAAATCTTTTTGGTTTAAAATACATAATTTTTAGTAAATTTCTCTGTGCCCTTTCAACCTCTAGAAATTTGTTAAATGTCTATGTAAGTTTCCGAGGTCTATTATGATTAATTCAATGTGTCTATGTCATGACAAATGTTGGTCAACTCCTAAATACTTGGTCTCTGAGACCAAGCATTTAGGAGTCATAGTTGAGTCATAATTAATGAACAGCTGCAACTAGTACTTTAAAGATCATAGCATGTGTGAAGTAACATAACATAACATATAACATAAACACTCACGCCTGTTACCCAAAGGGGTAGGCAGAGACTACAGACTTCCATTTGGCACGATCCTGACACACCTCTTTCGCCTCCTTCACATCCATACACCTACGCATACATGCTCGTCGGTTAAGGGTACTCCTAATTTGGCCCGTTTTCAACAAATCGCCAATTTGGTCGATAAATTCGTCCCTTTCTGACTCTGCCATTCACTTCTGCAACATAAATTTTCTTTGTCACTCTTTCCTCATTCATTCTTTCCACATGACCAAACCACCGAAGCATTCCTTTCTTAATCCTGGTCACAATATCATCTTGCAAACCACACTCTTCTCTTATTACACAATTTCTTACCCTGTCGTTCAGATTCAGCCCTAACATACTCCTTAAGGACCGCATTTCTACTGCGTTGATTCTACTCTCGTGCTTCTTCTGCCACACCCAACTTTCACTACCATACGTTAAAGTGGGGACCAACACAGCATTGTGAATTGCCATACGTGCCTTTTTTGACACATTTTGACTCTTCACAATAGAGTGCAGGACCCCATTTACTCTATTTCCCGCATTAACTCGTCGTTCTATATTCTTATCATATCTCCCATCCCTGCTAAATACGCAGCCCAAATATACAAACTCATCTACTTGCTCGATCAACTCCCCTTCTATTCTTATTTCACAAATCGTTTTACTTTCTTCTCTTTCAAAAACCATAACCTTCGTCTTACTTGCGTTCACTTTCATACCCCTTGTGAAGTTTTGCATGTGTGAAGTTTTATTTGGAAATTAATATTAGGCTGAGGTCGAATAAAATTTGTAAAACATAAATAACTAGATTTCAAAGTATTTAAAGTAGGTTAGTGTTCAGTCACTTAGCGATCCTAGTAAGGCCTTCTTCAGCAGATCTACGAATGGAATCCCAGGAGTCACCACTAAATATTACTGCAGTATCATCTGCATAGGATATTATGTTGTTATGTCCATGTTCGTTATATTATTTGTGTAGATTAAAAACAAAGTAGGACCCAGGAACATGATATCTGATCCATTGCTTAACTATTCACCTATCTTTACTTTTTGCTTGTGATCCTTAAGACAGTGTTTAAATGAATCTAAGTAAGTAGCCCTTATACCTATATCCTCTTGCCTGTGTACAAGGATTGATTTTCAATGTTTCCCAGAGCTTGTAGAAATGATGAATCTTGAATACCTAAACGGACTAGCACCATTTGCTCCAAAAATTACTGCCGATACTGCTGTACCAACCTTGAACTAGTGGAGGTAATATCTAGCTGTAGTTATATCAATAGAAATAAATTGACACCAATATTATTCTTCTTGGAAATATTTTGGAATTTCGACAA